TGTGGAAAATGCAAAGTCCTATTAGATCTCACAATATAGAAAATCATTTGTACATCATTAATATAACTTACAATATAAGTGAATATTTTTGTTGTCCTTAATTAGTGATGATAGAACAAAATACTTCTATCATATTTCCTTAATATAAATCATTCAAACCTATCAAGTGATTGTTTTAAAAATGACAATTTGAAGCAACATTTTTAACATTAATATCTCGAGTTTTCAATAGAGATATGATAGATAGATGATAGATAGATAAATAAATAGACAATAGTTGACAGATAGATAGATGATAGATAGACAGACAAGTGTGGATATAGAAATTCTTCATAGTTCTTTGAACCCAAATGGATAAATATCAACTTTCTTAATATTGGTCTTACCTTTTCCAATTTTGAAAGAGCGAGAGAGTAGCAGTCTTTGGCTCTGAATTGCATGAATCTCATGTTTGCTGGATGTGTAAGTTCTGTGATAATACTGAGACTGGAAAACAGCCTAAATTAAAGAAAAATGTATCACACTAACAATCCAATATGGTATGTTTTCATAACAACATATTTGTGAATGAGTGATTCTAGTCTAGGGCATAAAACCACATCCAATTACAACAGCAGCAGTGCCCTATAAAACTCTGTACAAGAAAAATGGAACGCTATTTTCCAAATATTTTAACATGGTAAGAAAAATAAATTCAGCAATTTGCCTTTTATTAGACATTTTATCTCCATAATTATGAAACAGCACAGAAGAGAAACTCATAAAGTTGATTTAGGAAGTTACAAGATTACTTTGGGGGTGATATTAAAATAGAAATTTATAATATGGGTATTTGGCTTGGCAAAAAAATTCACACGATGATTTTCTTGTCCATTCTATGAACTCTCTGATGTTCTATGGTTCCCTAGCCTCGTAAAGTAGGCTATTTCTAAAGGTCAAATTTTGCTACAAAGAGTTCCCAAGATAAGGAAAACCTTCATGTAAGTAAATTTCACCAATGAAATGGAACCACGGCTAAAGCATTAATACAATATTCCAAAAGGATCCAAGAATTCTCGCACAGCCTTCCCTTCACATGTCCCTGCCATACTAAGTTCAAATGGATATGTATACTCACATGATTTTTTCACCCAGAGAGCAAAAGGCAGAATAATGACAAGAAATGACTCTAATTTTTCTCCTAATGCCGTTTTGATCCATACCTGTTTTTATGTCTCACTGGCAGTTGCTCTGATACAAATATTCTGGGATTCTATGTAGCAGCTACTTTATACAGTAACAGGCTTTGTTTCTACGCAATATGTCTTGACGCTAAACTAAGAAAGGGTCATTTAAAATGTCCATTGCTAGGTTGAACTCATCTCCTGAACTCAAGGACCAGCACTGACTGAAAACACACCAGACAGATGATCTGTTTGGGGCTCAATACGGAATCAGCTTCTGTTGCTCTTCATTTCACATAACTGCAGGGCTGCCGTGCCCCTGCTTTGGTGCTGAATGCTTGACACAGCACTCTACAAAGAAATGTGCTTGTTTTAACAAACAAGCCCGGTCTCTGAGTTATGGTGCTGCACATGAATTCTATGCTTCTCCTGGGGCCTAATTCCCTAATGCTGATGGAACACTTGCTAGAATAGCTCCCACCTACCAGGCAGTGGTGGCCTGGTGCATGTCAGCCCTCTGCAGGGATCTGTTTCCAGCATGGGCCAGCCATCCAGGCTACCTGCCTCTTAGGTCTGTTTCCAGGGGTCACCTTACTACCCAAGTTAAGACACCAAAACATTCTTTGAACAGTTTCCTTCAGAGGTATATGTGAAAATTGTGCAGCACTGTATTTTCTAAATGGACATTTCAGAACATTATTCATTCATTATAAAAAAAAAAAAGGAAAGAAATGTAGCCAGTATTACATCTTGAGTTTATTTTGATTGCAGATTTTATTTGTAGGTCTAGGCTAATTGTAACAAAGATAAAAATAATAGTATCAGCAAAAAAAATCAGAAAGTAATTTCTTTTGCTTATTTTTAACATCAAAATTACAGTCATGTTATTTGTGCGATTGATCAGTGTCTTCAATTACTTGTCACCTTGAGCTGGTTAATGAAACAAATTTCTGATTCTTAAAAGACATTGTATCAGGAAGTTTATGGATGATTTGTAGACTATTTTAGCCAAGTGACAGTCAATAGCCACTACTTACTTTTTAAGAATTTTAAATTTTATTTATTTATGATTACTGCATGCACATATATAGGTAAGAGGATAACTTTGTGGAGTTGGATTTCTCTTACCTTTTTAAAAGTTATTTTGATCTACTTTATTTAATGTGTATGACTGTTTTGTTCACATGTATATAAGTGTACCACATGTGTGCAATGCAGGCGGAGGCCAGAAGAGGGTTTTAAATCCCCTAGAACTGGAGTTATACATGGATGTTAGCTGTCATGTGGGGCTAAGAATTGAACCCAGATCCTCTGCAAGAGTAATCAGTACCCTTAACCACTGAGCCATCTCACCAGTACATCCCCTTCTACTTTTAACAGGGTTCCAGGAATTGAATTCAAGCCTTCAGGTTTAGACAACAAATACTTTACCTGCTGAGCCATCTGGCACCCATTTCTCTTTACAGTGACATTGTTATTTCTTTCTGTGGTGGTTTGAGTGAGAATGTACTCCATAGGCTCCAGGTATTTGGACAGTTTGTCTCCACTTGGTGGTGCTGTTTTGGGAGGTTTCAGTAGGTAGATGTGGCTTTGCTGGAGGAAGTGTATCCCTGGGGGCAGGCTTTGAGAGTTCTTAAGCCTTGCTGGATTTCCAGTCACTCTCTGCCTCCTGTGCCTGCTTGATGGTGTGAGATCCTGTTCCTGTGCTGGCCACTTCTTGTCACTCCCCCACTGCCACCCCCCATGATGGGCTTTGATTCCTCCTGAACCATAAGCTCAAATAAAATCTTCCTTTTATTAGTTCCTTGGTCACATTTTTGAAATCAAAACTATTAATTGAATTTCCTCTGGAATCCAATTTAGATCAAATATTTTAAATCTTTTGAATTTAAAACCCTTCCTCAAACCCTCTGGTATTTATTTACAGTATACCTCACACTGTATATTCCTTGTACTCTGGGGGATTTTCTGTTATTAAGTACCAACTTCTAGAAAGGTTGGTTTTCCTTCCAGAGCCTAGTAGTACATCTTTTAGGCTGCCACTTAACAAATCTTTTTAAAAAGAAATGATTTCTGAATTCTTGCTCATTTTGTGAGGAGATGGCTTAGTAGTGGAGATAGGAGTGCTGCAGTTTACAGAATATTCTGTTTATGGGAACACTGTTGCCTGCAGCCCACATGATCTGTTTTTACCACGTCTACTGTTTTCATTCAGAAATCACCATGGTAGTAAATTCTATAAAGCTCTTTGTTTCAAAAGCTCTTGAAAATTATAACATCCTGCTAGGGGAAAAAATCAATTGATTTTGGGAGGGACTGGCCAACTGCCAAAGTGCATATCATCTTTGAGTTTCAAAGGTGTCTAATAAATAAAATAATAACACTAAGACATTTAAATATGGGATGTCACAACCAATATTCAACAATTTGTGACCATAGAAGTTTAAATGAATAAATGTTACTATCAAACTGAATCAACAAGGGAGCTAGAGAGCTGGTTCAGTTCTCTTTCAGAGAAGCCAGACGAGGACCCTCCTCCAGGTAAGTTCAGTTCACAGCATTCATTTCCGGGGACACATAACCTCCTGTAACTCCAGGTCTGGAAGATCCAACACCTTCTTTGGAGGTCCACACACAGCACTCATGTGCACATACTCCACACACACACATAACTAAAAATAAAAATAAAATCTTGAGGAAAAAGTGGATCAATGAACACAAAGCCCATAGCTTATTTAGACACTAAATGTTCTACTCTAGACTTTGAAGTGTGAAAAGGAAAATTAACAGATCCAATTCTCATCTTTGTCTTTTCTCTTTTTCATATTCTGGAGAAGAAAAAAATGTCCATGCTGTGATGATATTGAAAATATGCAAAGCAAAAGACTAATTTCAAAAAGGGTCCAAGATTTACTCATGGGCTCCTACACAGGCAGTTCCTCTTTTGCTGTTTCCATCCGTTCCTCCTTCATGGAGGACTGGAGGGCAGGTGGCTCAGCCTGACTTACCTTTCTGTATCTTCATACTTGCCGTAGTCTGTGATAAATCATTCTGTGATCTCAGACCCACAGGACTAGTTTAGTGGCTTTCAGTGTGGCCCTGACCACAGCTCTTGATGATGGATTTAAGAAAACCCATTATTGGCTACACAGCAAAATCACATTTTCTTGCCTGGAACTTTGATATCTACCTGTGCAGAGAGTTTCTAACTTTTATTAGAAATCAAGAAGTCTAGCTGGATTACCTATTCAAACCGAAGAAAACTCATTTATGATTCCCTATAATAAATAGTTAGCTGATGAAAAAATTGAGGCACAGAGAGCAAAAACAACATGTTTAGGACAATTATTTAGTACGTGCAGAACCCAATTCATACACCAGAGTTCAGACTCAAAAGCCTTCTCTTACCATTATAATAAAATAAGTGGGCAGGCTGGTAGAGAAACCCAGAGATTCAAAGAAACATTTATTAAAAATATCTAGCAAAATGTTGGTGCTTCATGTACTAGAAGACAACTCTCTTTCAGAACTATCATCTCCAGCACCTTACTTACCCACTGAAGTGTTTGATGGGTCCATATTCTTTTCATCATTATTGGAATAGAGGGTTTTTAATCACCCTGGCAGGAATGAAGATATTCTAAGACACTTGTGTCTGCCATTCTGACTACCAGACTATTGAAACAATGGACCCCAAAGAAATGGGAATTTCCCCCAGAATCTCATTCTTGGAAAAGAAAAAGTCACAAGCCAGAGGGGTGAATTTGTCTCCAGGAAAGAGATTTACCAATTGCCAGGCCACCAAACAGGAGCCCAGACAATGGTGGGCAGGACCACATCTTAACCAGAACTTATTAGATGTGCAAATCCCTGGCCCTCTATTTAAACTTTGATTTCACTTCCAGGTGCCAAAGAAGGGCTTGAGGGAGTCTATGGTTCTTTTTCTTCCCTCTTCCCAGTGTGGCCACACTGAATAAATCTACTTTTTCTGCTTCCCCCTACTAATTTGGCTCTTTTAATTGGTTTATTGAGGTTGTGTAACTGAACCCAGCTTGGGGCACAAGTTGTGACCCCCCAAGTCCAATAGCAGGCTGATATTTAATATCTAATTTAACAAAGAATTGTCAAAGGTCTACTATTAGAAATCTCTGGGCCACAAAGGATACAAAGGTGTATGAAGTGGAATGCTCACGCTTAAACTGTTAACTAATGAAGGAACAACAGAAACTGATTAATTAGAAGTACATCCATATTAGCTCTAGTGATGATAAACTGTGGCTGACAAAATGCTCCTAGGTTTAGTGGTATTAAGCCATGAGTGAATGGATAGCTGTG